TCAAGCAAAAGAATAAGAAGCTAATGGATAATGGAAAAAGAACAAAATGGGAGGGTAAATTAAAATAAAAATGAAAAATTGTGGAGAGCACAACCTGGAAGCAATTCTGACATAAAAGAATAGTAAAATAAACTTAGTTACTGTTCTGAGACCAGGTTCAGAGTAAAACGAAGAAGCAATATCACATTTTAGTAAGATAATTTGACTAGCTAATATAACGTTACTGTAAAATAATGAGATAAATTAAATCTACCGAACGATTGATGAAAGGAAGTAATATATATATATATATATAATTGTAAAGAAAATTATAGATATAATAATTGTAAAGAAAATTTGCTCCGTTTAATGAAAATAAACATTGAGCGCTCTTTTGGGAGTCAATTCGAATATATTTCAAACATGTTTTTCTCACTTAAATTCATATTTGCTCGATGAGTATCCAAATGTAAACAAATGACGCCACACATTATTAAATGGACAAAGTCCAACAGTTATTTTAATACATTTTATGTTTATACCTTCTCTTTTTATAGATACAAATATTTAATTATATTATAAACAGAGCATTTGCTTAAATATTTCTATCTATAAAAATGGATGTATAAACATAAAAATGTTTTAAATTAATTGCCACACTTTGTCCAATTCATAATGTGTGACGTCATTTGTTTACATTTGGATACGCAGCGAGCAGATATGAATGTACGTAAAAAAAATCATAAAAAAATGTAATTTAAAAACAGTAAAATCGACCTTGCTAACCGAAACGCTCCTCTGTGGCGAAATCGGCAAAAGCACGTCAGGCTATATGACGGTTCCGTACAGGATACAGGTTCGATTCCTGTCGGAGGACGCATATTTTCTCTGACAATTTCTCGGACATTCATGCCGGTAAATGTTGTTAATACTGTTTATTATAAACAGAGCATTTACTTAAACATTTGTATCTATAAAAAAGAATGTATAAACATAAAAATGTCTTTATATATATATATATAATTCTTTATAATAAAACAATATATATGTATGAAGAAGGAATATGTATACACATACTAGCAAAGACACACATGCAGACACAATACACAAAACTGAAGATAGGTTTAAAAAGATAGGGACAAAGACCTCCTTGATTTGCCCCTTCCCTGGCCAATCCTAATTGTTTTATTACCCCTGAAACAGAAGAATATTATCGCCACAAGTCCAAGAAAAGTATTTGGCATACTACTACACTCAAATGACAAAGCTTGATCATCGGAAAACACGAGGAAAATTGATTCCTTTTTTATAACACTATTGGACTCTACTTTAAACAATAAGAATGTATTTAAACAATAAGATGTAACTTTAAGTTGAAATGACGATCCCTCTTGCTCTTGTGACCTCCTGATCCAGTTTTCCTATCTAATGTCCCCTCTTTTTAAAACTTATTCACCCTTCTCTTGAAAGTTATGTTGTCATGGGAGCTTACCCATAATAATAATGGATTATTCCTGACATTATAAATACTGCGCCTCTCAAGAGTTATGGGGAGATTGTAAGACGAGGAGAGATAATTGAGAGCATATTGTAAAGACATTGGAATAGTGATACTTGTCGAGACAACATAGTTCACTCTAACCAAATCTGATAGTCATGACTAATACTTCTACTTCTTTGTATTATATTTCTGTTGTAATATATCTTTGTATTCCATACCTGTGTTCGTGTTATTCTTTCATTGGTTCTAACCTTGGACCATCACCGTGCTACAAGGAACTTGGACCATAACATATGTAATGGACATTGAAGATGGAAGTAAGAGTATGAATGTTGGTACCAATACTGAAGGCCTGAATGATCTTTTTCCTCTTACCATTGCTCAGTTGGGAAGTGATAGTGGGGCTGATACAAACCGATTTTAACCTGTTCACTTTCTAACTGATTAACTCAAAGTTTTTTTTTTCAATAATTTTTACGACAAATAGTATCAAGATGGCTAAACGTCTTATCTGAAAACATGGAAAAAGAAGCTCAATTATTTTAATGGTTTTTTAGATATTAAAAATCTTGTGGGACAGACAATTATCCCATGCTGTTACACGATTTGGTCAATTTTGCTGTTACATCCGGTATAAGAAGTATTATATATTTAATGCAATATGTATATTTTATTTATGTTATGAAAGCTATTTGACGCTCCCTTGGACAAGTATATATCACACGAATGATAAATGTCTGTTTACGCAGTTCAACTCATTTTCCGGGAGATTTGTTTTTTTTCCTCCTTTGACCTCGGTTTATGTGAATATAAAAAAAATCTTTATTCAGCAACTGCCGAGTCTCTGTTATTTCGAATTTTTTATCAGGACGTGCCCTTTCAGGATGTGTGCGGTTATAACTCTCCTGAGTTTCTTTTTAAGCTTTTATTTTAATTATTACACCGTAGGTAAGGTGATAAAGCCACTAAGAAAAAAAAGGTCATTGTGAGTGAAAGCAAATACGAAAACATTAGTGAGAAGAAAGGACAATAAAAAAATCGTTTGAATTAAATTAAGCTTTATGAATTTCCATTGTGTTTACGCAAGCATCAGTTCTCGGACAATCACCAAAGTAAAGCAACGTAGAGCGTGGTCAGTACCGAGATGGATTACAGCTTGGCAATACCAGGTATTGCAAGCTTGGATGCGCGGATGGTGTAATCGATAAATATTCACAGTGGAAACGAGTTCCAATTCCAGTTGGGCTAGTTATACACTTACGAGCAAATATACCTGGGAAAGGTGTGGCTTCGTCTCTTCTTTCCCACAGCTATGTGTTAATTAGTAGGACTATCATTATTATCTCAAAAAAATTCTTACAATCTAAAAATATTTAAATCTTAAAATATTTCCTGGTTTTAAAATCACCCTCCTCCACCTATGGGTTAATTAGTAAATCTTGGATGCTTAAATCATTATTATAACCCCGAAAACTATTCTTAAAATCTAAATATATTTTCTGGCCTAAAATAACCTGCAAATGCTTGATAAACCATAAAATAAACTAATCAATCTAATAATTCATTATGCTATCAGGAACGTTATGCTATTAAGGTATAGATTTTAAAAGCAATCGTAGAAACCAATGATTTTAAGATGGCCTTTTGTTTAACAAGAAATTTAAAACCTAGGAAGCGTATTAAGTTTCTACCCTACTGAGTAGGAATATATATATGTATATATTTCTATACTTTAGTCACGAGACTCCTAAAATAAAAGAATAATGCGTATTTTATTTTAGATTTGATCCCAATGTGCATTGAATATAGAAGTGAGATACTAAAAAGCACGTAGACTAGAGACTTTCACAAACACCAAAAAAGTTAAAATGGCATTTATTTCGACGAATATACAGGGTGTCCCCCTTAAAATTGCCATAATTTTGTAGTTTAATAACAAAGCCAATTCTCATTAAAATGATCTCAAATTTTAACAAAATGTGTAAAAACTAACAAAGTTGACCACTTATCTCAATGAGAATCTATTAGGAACATCGATCGGGCTTGTCAGTGATAATGTCAATGTGCTGTTGAAATGGCCACCACGTTAACCTGACAACGACACTGTGTTTTTTTTTCTTCTATGGAGCTATGCAAAAGGACGAGTTTATATCTCCCCTTTTCCTAAAAGCCCAGAGGAACTAAAGCAGAGAATCACTGAGGTGCTGGAGAAGGTTATTTCCGACATTGTAACAACGTGTTCAACAGGATCTGGACTATCGACTTGACATTTGTGGTGTCGCATGTGGCATTTGTGAAGCTTTGTGAAATCGGTTATAAATTCTACACCTTTTGAATATCTTGTTCATATTTTGGTAAATAAATCTTTTATTGTTCATCTTGAAGTCTATTTAATTTCGTTAACACCTTATACACACACACACATATATATATATGCAGCTTCTCAGTGTGGCGAGAGGTCCGATTGCTTCAAGCTGGGATCGAAACCCGACTGATTTGATATCAGTCAGATATCTTACTTCTAGGCCATCGGAAGGAAGGTAATTTTAACGTTTTTTCCATAAGAAATACACCAGCGGCTCGGAGAACTCAATTCAGTTTACTTGAAGAGTAATGCTTAATAGAAGTAGGAGCCAGTGTTTTTTTTTTTAAAACATCCTTTCCCTGAATAGCTCAACCGGATTTCCTGGAGCATATATATATATACATATATATATATATATGTTTGTGTGTGTGTGAGAGAGTTTTCAATCAGCACCGGGTAAAAAATGTCACAACTGGTAAAAAATTGGCAAGAGCCAACGTTCACCTGACTTAACACCTTTTTTTTTCTATGGGGCTATGTGAAAGGATAGGTTTATATCTCCCCTTTTCCTACAAGCCTAGAGAAAGTTAAGCAGAGAATCACTGAGTTGCTGGAGAATGTTACTCCCAACATGCAACAACGTGTTCGGCAGGAGCTGGATTACCGACTTGACGTCTGCCGTGTCACAAGTGGTTGCGTATATTGAGCATATGGGAAGCTTTGTGAAATCGATTATAAAATCTACATCGTTTTGAATATCTTGTTCATATTTTGGTAAATAAATCTTTTATTGGTCGACATGAAATCCCGTTAATTTTATTGGACTGGGACATGTAGTTACATAGATAATCACTTTTTAAATGATGTCAGTTGGCGGAAACATCCTGCATTATATTATTGCTATTTAGTCAAGACTATCATAGGAATTGTTTGCCAAAGAATTACATTGAGGTCACTAGGTTAAAATTCGTTACAAAATATCGATCTCTGACTTATCCTAAATCTTTTTAATGGGACATGATAATTTAATGGGACATGATAATTTAATGGGGCATGATAATTTAATGGGACATGATAATGTCTGAACCGCTAGATTCGAGGCCCAAACATTTCGAGCTTGAGTCTCTTGTTGAAGTGATAAATGAATTGAGCGAATCCCCAAGAATTACGGTACCGTTCGTCGCTCATCCCTCTTTTTACCAAACATATATGTAATTAATAAAATGTCAGGTGATTGCTACGATAAATAAAAAAGAAACGAAAGAGAACAACAAGGAAAGGAAAACAAAAAGAAGAAAGAGATAAAATGAGAGAAATTAAATATCGAATAAAGACAATGAGAAAAGAAAGAAAGCGACTTTCCGTGTCACCACAGATGCGATGGCAGAAAGAATAAAAAAACTGCAAGGAAAATAGAAAGAGGAGAAAGAAAAAAAAGAGGAAGTAAAAAAGTCACTCGCAGTATAAGCGGGAAATAGGAAAATGGGAGAAACAAAAAGACGGCTATGAAAATATAAAAGAACGAAACGAGGAAAAAGTGACTGCTCGGTTTAGAAGAGATACGAGATTGGAAAGAAGAAAGGATAACGAAAAAAAATGAAAATGATAAAGAAAAGTAAAGGAAAAAAGTGCATTATCAAGAGATGCGATGGCGGAAAGAAGACAATTGAAATATAAATGAGAGAAAGGGAAGAAGAGGAAGTAAAAAAAAATCACTCTCAGTATTAATGCAAACGGACAAACAGAAGAAAGGAAAAGACAACTACGAAAATAAAGAACGAAAATAGGAGTAAAAATGGCTTCTCGTATTCGATGACGTAAAGCAGACGACAGCACAAATAGAAAAGAAGAAACAGAAAGGAAGAAGAAGTAAAAAAGAAGAATCCTAATCCTGTAGATAAGCAAATGAAAAATAGGAAGAGAAATTTGGAAAATAGAAAGCGAAGAAAGAATAAGAGGAAAAAAAAATGGCTTCTCGGATCAATACAGATGTGAAAACGGAAAGAAAAATTGACAACGAAAATTTACTGATTTTCTAAGCGTAGCTTAGATGTGGCACAAGGCTGAAAGAATGGAGCACCCAGTATGGATTGTATTCACTATTCAGTAGTAATTGTTGTAGAGAGACAAACTTGTTAACCATTATATCACACTGAGGTGCCCAACGAATCAATCAATCAATAGTGGTTTTCCAAGCGTTGCTTAGATGTGGCACAAGGCCGAAAATAGGGAGCACGCAGTACACTAATCAGTCGTAATTGTCCTAGAGAGACAAGCTTGCTAACCATTACGCAACGCCGAGGTGCCCAACGAATCAATCAGTCAATAGTAATTTCCCAAGCGTAGCTTAGATGTGGCACAAGGCCGAAAGTAGTGAGCATGAAGTGTGGACTGTTCTCACTAATCAGTCGTAATTGTCCTAGAGAGACAAGATAGCTAACCATTGTACCATGCGGAGGTGCCCAATAAATCAATCAGTCAATAGTGATTTTCCAAGCGTAGCTTAGATGTGGCACAAGGCCGAAAGTAGTGAGCACCCAGTGTGGATCGTACTCACTGCTCAGTCATAATTGTTCTAGTGAGACATGCTTGTTGACCATTACACTACCTCGAGGTGCCCAGTTCCCAACGAAAATATAAAGGGGAAAAATAGGCGGGAAGTTAAAAAAAAGAAAAAGAAAAAGAAGAGACTTGTCGTATCAGTGCAGATGGGCAGGCCCGAAAAGCACAGACACCTATGAAAATAAAGGAGAAAGAAAGTAAGTTATTTCTCATATTAGCACATATGCGAATTTGGAAAGCGACGACAATTAAAAAATAGAAAAGGGAGAAAGAAAAGGAGAGGGAAATAAAAAAAGGTGACCTCTAAAATCAGCGCAGATGGAAAAAGTTTATGAAAATAGTAAGAGAAGAAAGAAAAAAAAGACAGAAAAAAAGTTATTTATCGTAGTTATTTATCGAAGACATAATAACAAAAATGTAAAGAGGCGAAAGAGAAAAGGAGGAAGTAAAGAATAAATGTCCATGTATCAGAGAAGAGAGGTAGACAGAGAAAGATGGGAAAGTGGGGAAATAGTATTTCTCTTATAAACAGAAATACACGGACGAAAAAAAGAAAAGAAAATAGAAATGGTAGAAAGAGAAAGTAAAAGAAAAAAGAATTATAAAATGGCGACTCCTAATATCTGCGCAGATTGACGGGCGAAAAATAAGTAGAGACGACGATACAAATAGAAAGAGAAAAGAGAAAAGAAGAGGGAAAAAGTCACTGTTCGTATCAGTTGAGATGCAAATTTGGAAAGAAGAGACGAAGAAAAAAAAAAGGGGTTAATTAAAAGAGAAAAAAAAAACATGCGATTTCATGTCTCAGTGAAGATGGGCAAGCGGAAAAAAAACGCTTATGAAAATAAAAAAAAAAATAGAGAAAATAGGAAATAAGATGAAAAAAAAAGGCTTCCTGTGTTAGCACGGACGCAAAAAGTGTGAAAAAAAAAAAAAAAAAAAAAAAAAAAAAAAAAAAAAAAAAAAAAAAAAAAAAAAAAGAAAAAAAAAAAAGAAAAAAAGAAAAGGAAAAAGAAAAGAAAAAAAGAAAAAAAAAAAAAAAAAAAAAAAAAAGAAAAAAAAAAAGAAAAAAAAAAGAAAAAGAAAAGAAAAAAAGAAAAGAAAAAAAAAAAAAAAAAAAAAAAAAAAAAAAAGAAAAAAGAAAAGAAAAAAAAAAAAAAAAAAAAAAAAAAAAAAGGAAAAAAGAAAAGAAAAAAGAAAAAAAAAAGAAAAAAGAAAAAAAAAAAAAAAAAAAAAAAAAAAAAAAAAAAAAAAAAAAAAAAAAAAAAAAAAAAAAAAAAAAAAAAAAAAAAAAGAAAAAAAAAAAAGAAAAGAAAAGAAAAGAAAAAGAAAAAAAAAAGAAAAAAAAAAAGAAAAAGGAAAAAAGAAAAGAAAAAAAAAAAAAAAAAAAAGAAAAAAAAAAAAAAAAAAAGAAGAAAAAAAAAAAAAAAAAAAAAAGAAAAAAAAAAAAAAAAAAAAAGAAAAGAGAAAAAGGAAAAAAGAGGAAGTAAAAATAGAAACGTGACCCACGGGATCTGCACAGATGGACAGACTTAAAAAAGATTAAAGAAAAAAAAAAAAAGAAAAAAAAAACACTGTGAAAATAGAGAGAAAAGAAAAAAAAAAAAAACGTGGGTTAAGTCACTGAATCCAACCAACGATTTCATCGACTGACCCATGTGTCGTTAAGGAGATATACTCCAGTGGGCCAAAGAGTTATGAGTTCAATACCTGCCTACGACAGTGGTGAACAAAAACTTGAAGTGTTGAGTTTAAAAAAAAAAAAAGGAAAAAAGATAACTGAGACACCCGGAAGAAGCATGGCACGTGGAACTAGAACAATCTACCCCGGTGGACGAAATAAAGGGTTCAGTTCGAAATTCCAATCACCTGAAGAAGACCGGAGCGTACAACGGTCGAAACGTCGTGAATATGGCAATAAAGACGAGGACAAATGTCCGAACAATGTAAATAATGTAAAAACAACGAAGCTTTACAAAGCAACTGGTTTCGTCTGACACAATTGACTCCCAAAATTTTACACCATTCAAACTTTTTCCAGCCCTCAAATTGAATAGTGTTCATTATTTTTATTATGTGATAGCAAAGAAACTCATCTCGGGCCTGGCGGAAAGAACTGAACAGTAATAATGTTGTATACGCACCAATTAATACAATGTTGTATCTTCTATTTCTTCTTTTTTTTCTCTCGTCACGTGATCGCTAGTTGGTCTGGTTGAGAGATAAAAAGAACTTCAACAAAGGGAATTTTAAACATAATTTTATTTACGTCGACCTATATATCTCTAACTAGCCAGTGAGGTCGCCCTCTCACCTCACTAGGGGAGCCCCTTCTCAGACACGAAGGAAATACGTCTACATTGTATGACGGCTTAGAAACGACACCCTGAAAATAATTTCCCTATCATTCCCACATTAGTTCAACCAATCAAAATCGGTTTCCTTTATTTTGTCTTTTATCTGGCCCCTAAGGTCAAACTGAGGATGTCAGTGTAGAGCTACACATCTCTAATAAATAATAGCCTGCTAAACTAATATTTAATAATAACAGAAAGACAAAATTTATTTAGAGCAACAAGAGACAGGAAATTGTGGAGAGCCATTATTACCTACATCTTGAGGGGACACAGCACATAAAGAAGCCATCCCTTCTTGATGGTAACCGGAATTTGAAACATTTTTTTCGAGAAATTAAATTTAAAAGAATAACTTTTAATTAAAAAAAAATAAACAAACTTGTCTCTGGTGGTTTTTAATTCCAAAAAAACATTGACTTTTCTTCGAAGTGAAATGTTTGCAACGAATTGTGGGATTCTATTTTAATCGTCACCAGAACAGACAATAACACAGATTGTGAGTGTCCTAATCGTAGGGTTTTACCAATCGTAATCAAACATTAGGGATCGAATAAAAATCAAAAAGCCACTTCGATTAAATTCACTATCTATTAATTCCATGCGTTATGGAGAAAAACATTCTCCATATTTATTTCACATCAAGAATAGATAAGTATTTTATTAAGTCTCAATGTGACAAGTACCTTGTTTTTTAATCATTTTATCCCAAGCAAGACAATAAAGCCGCTAACTCGAAGAGATTTACGAAGTGAAAAAAAAAAAAAAAAACGTTATTAATGAGAGAGAAAAAGTAAAGAAAGGGAATTAAGACAAAAGATAACGATTGACATTGTTTATATATTTTTGAAGATCAAAATTGACCGGGAAACAAGAAGCTGAAAGAGAGCTCCACAAGCAAGAAGTGCGAGAAAAGAAACCTTTAGCATAGAATTAGAACTTACGATTACATCTAGTCATTTCAAATCTAAAATAATGAGAGCTGTCCGCCAATCTAGTACTGCGATTAAGTTCATGAGTTTAGTTACGATAGAGGAGAGTTCATCAGAACAATCACCGTGAAAGTATTTGCAGAAAAAAAAAAAAAAAACACATGCAAGCTACATTACATTAATTTGAAAGTAGCTGGAGCCTAGATGTCAAGTCACGACCAATGACACTGCAAATTCCTTGGAATTTATCAAGGATCTTTAAATATATAGAAGGATCACCACACTATATGTGATAGCAATATTTTAAGCATAGACGAATATTAGACTTCTAAATCTGTAAGATAGATCTGGGCGAGAAAAATGTCTAACAATACACCGGGACCCAACATTTCTATCAACAGACTCAGCAATTGACGCGATTTAATCTTTCAACATCAAGTTAGTGGAAAACGTTATCTCGAGAAAGAGCAACGCGTCGCTTTCCTGGAGGTTAGCATCTGCATATGAAGATGACATGACATTCTTCTAAACAGGTTCGATCAAAAGCAGGTTTACAGTCGTTTTACTATTTGTTTCGCGTTTTAGATCTAATTTATCCGAATCAGAATTCCAAATCAATATCAGTGTCAAGAGATATTTTTTAAAAAATCGATCTCCCAGGGTGCAACGGGCATATAGTTATTTTCTACCTTAGGCTCATGTTATCAATTATCTGAAACTTTAGCAACGCATGCGCATAATTTAATAACGGCAATAAAAGCGAATATATTAAAGCCAGGCAACAGGCAAAAATAACAAAAGAATTTTTATTGTTGCCGTAAAAACATTCATTGAAAAGGCTTAACCGCTTTTCATGCCTCTCTCCTCAGAGCTTTATGGAGGACTGAAAGATCGGCATAGTAAATAAAATAGGAAGCACCAAATACGTACATTATATATATATATATATATATATATATATATATGGGATAATCTATATAATACTAAAAGTCTGCGATAGCGTGCGAGTTTGTTTGACGCGTCCATCCGGCGCATAATGATTTACAAGTTGTTTATGCTGAAAGTACTAATTTATATTAAACAGACAATTTTTTTAATAAAAATATTTCTAACTTAAAGACATACACAAAGAGATCCCGCTTTGCTGTTTCGTCTATTTATTTGTAAAGTAATTATTTATATTTTGGACCTCTTTAAACAAACAATATTTTTAAATATTTAAAAAATATTTTTAAGTTAATCTGATTTAAAAATTATTTTAAGTGAATAAGATTTAAAAATACGATTTGTTCATACAGTAAGTATTTTAACTTTCTTCAAACATACAATTTTGTAATTAATATATTTCTAAGTTATAGACAGACACAAAGAAATCCCACTTTGCTGTTTCGTCCAGTTGTTTCCAGAGAAATTATTCATATTTCAGCTTTCTTTAAACAAAGAATATTTTAAATATTTAAAAACTATTTTTAAGTTAATCTGATTTAAAAATGCGTGTTGTTTATACGTTAAGTATTATTATTTTAATTTTCCTCAGGCAATTTTTTTAATTCAAATATTTTTAAGTTAAAGAGAGGCACAAAGAGATGCCGATTTGCTGTTTCGTCCAGTTGTTTGTAGAGTAATTATTTATATTTAAGCTCTCTTTAAAGAAAGAATATTTTAAATATTTTGAAAATATTTTTTTGCGTGTTTAAAAATATTTTCAAGTAAATATAATTTTAAAGTATTTTTTTGTATATTAAAAATATTTTTAAGTTTATTTGATTTAAAGTTCAAGTTTATCCCGGAAGTTCTATTTCTATTAAATGCTGTAAACGATCAGTAGAATGTTAAACATGAAGTTGAAAGCCAGACCAATGATGACACGAACGAATTGAAAGATTTAATTGAATCATAATAAAATTAACTCTAATTTCAATGGAATGTTGAAATCAATTGCAATGTTTTATAACTTGAACCGTCAGTGACCCAGCGGGTCACGGATAGTCTAGTGGTAGATATTTTTTTAGATATCAAGAACAATTTTAAGGTAAATTAGTATGACAACGTGGAAACAAGTTTTCGAACGACGCGTTGCGTCCTTTAAACAAAGAAAAATAATAAATAAAAGTGAAATCGGTTAGATTACATACACAAAACACACATAAAAAAGTAAATTTAAAATTGTCAGCGTCTCTGCTTTGTTCATGCGCATGTGGAGTTGCATCACCGTAAACATAAAATTAGTGAAGTGATGATTCCACTTTGTCATACTTCTAATATATATATATATATATATATATATATATATATATATTATTATAATAATAATTTTTGTTTAAAAATATGATTTCTTCGCTACATAAGAGTTCTCGTGTTGCAAAAACGAGAGCCGAAACCATCCAAATAATTATTAATTATTAGTTGAATTGAGGTGTTTAGTCCCGTTTCATCTTCAAGCGAAATTTTAGGAATAAGCTATCTCTCGGTTTACGTGTGTTTTTAGGCATGGTTCGTTATAAA